GGCTTCGGGTCTTGCAATTGGGCTCCAGTCGGGTTAATTGTAACTAGGTTAGGCCTGTAGGTCTGCTTTCTTCTAGGTCGAGTGACATTGAGCCTTGTTTAGGGTACTGTTGAGTTTGTTTGTATTTTGCTTTGTTGGGCTTTATTGTTGGGCTTTGAGTTGGGGCCTACAAAAAAAGTAAAATATATTAATAATAATAATAGTAATAATAATAATAATAATAATTTAAAACTCATACAAAAATGGGTGTATACAGTTTCTCGAACTATTGGGTCTAGTCCATATAAGTGGTTTTCTTCCTTGTTTTCTTTTCAACTTTCTCTTCCTTTTTTTCCTTTTTCATTTATGAAAATCGGGTGTTCATTGTTCTTTTTCATTTACAATAGACATGAAATCAATATAGATTATTGTTGAAGCAATTTTACATGTACTGAAACTCATTTCCATAGCTCTAATAGGACTACTTCTTTCCCACCCTAAAATCCAAATGATTTCAAAACCTACACTTAAGCTTGTAAGCACGGTTGTTTTCTTTCTATTCTGGCCATGTTTAATTTTCACCCACCTTGGTCCAATCATTAATCTCAACAAATTCATCCACTGGTGGTTTATTCCAATGAATATTGTCATCAGTATTCAATACAACTATCGGTTCTGTATTGGGGTTGCTAGTGGCATTCATATGTTTTCTGCCACTCGAGTTCTTGTATCTAAATGTATGGATATTTGGGAATCTGGTTCATTGGGAGCAAAGCAAGAGACATCTGATCTACCTTCAACTGGCTCAACTATTAGCATGCCAACTGTCTCTTGCTGTAGTCTAGCACAAACCATGGGTTCACCTTTACAGCAGGTTTATAACCCTTTGGCATTTTCTTCAAGAACTCAAACTAGACCTCCCCGTATCAATACCATCTCTTCTTCCACATAAAACCCTCAAATGGGCACTGAAATTCGTGTTACAATTCCACATTTGTAGCCATTTAGGTCTTGTGATTTGTACGGTCAACTTAGAGAGGGAAAAATGGCAAAAGGTGATTAAGTTCCACTATTCGAAACAAGGTCAGATAAGAAACAAATTTTTTTCAAGTCGGTTGCAGCGTCGATCTTGCTTGGCATATATGAATCGGTAGCAGCAACATAAGAAGGAGGCTCGAAAAAATGGTCAACGGGTGAAAGAAAAATGACAAAAATAAAAATAATTTTCGATTTTTACTTGAAGTATTGACCATCAACGGGTTACGCAAGCGGTTAACAAGCCAAATAAGTGGTTAACGGTTCAGTTTAGCTTTTTGTCACCTATGTTAACAACTTTTAAAACCGAAGGATCAATTTGTTATAAATTAATATTTTCAGTGATCAATTTATTTCAAAATAATAATTTTAATGACTAATTTTTAATTTTAAAACTTCAATGAAGAAAATAAATATTTACTCAAATATTAGTAACTATTTGTGTAGTTTAACTTTAATATTATGGATAAAATTGGGGAACGCATTCAACTTCAAAGTCAGAGTCAGCGCTTCGGCAGCCAGCCTGGCAAGCAGCCGCCCTTTCTCTAAATATATCTTGCAATTGGGTCAACTGCAAATTATGACCTTGCACATCAAGGGATTGCAAACCTCCCAATTTGATTAAAATAGCATTTATTCAACAGAGAATCATGAATGTTAGCTTACACTTGAAGTAGCTATTTCAAGTTACGTTTAAAATAAAATTTGTTTTAAAAAATAAGATGAATTTAACTTATATTACTTCTCTAAATCAAGATGAGTGATATGACTGAAATATAAACAAATTAAATCCAAAAATATTTATGTTTGTAAAAAAAGGAATGTCGTTGGGCTTTAAGTTGTATTTAATTTACCGGTTAATTAGAAGAAGAAAAAATCAACAACTCAGTCGGACCCTTGACTTATTCAACGCTTTGCTACTTGATATATGATTTTTCGACGAAAGCCAACAATGAAGGAAGATGAATTTAAGCTAAAGCATCTCCAGTTCTATAAATACTTTGCTTATTCCCTTGGCATCCTGGACACACCAACACAATCTCTTTCTTTATTTGGCCATGGCTGCTTTTCATAACGGTTTTTGCGAAGATGCTTTTGTACTTAACCCAGAAAAGGCAAGCTTGTTTGATCTTCTGAGCCTACTTTTGTCGCCTCAATTGGAAAACAGAAGATTCATTGATTGCCCAGGGAGTGGCAGCCAACACCGAAGCTTTCGTAAGCGGTGGACCATCTTCGTCTCAGTTCTTGTTCAGAAACTCCTCTTCTGGGCAACGAAGCCTATGGCCTTTATGGGGGATGCCATCGAGATGTGGCTTAATCTGTTATCTTCCAACCGTGGCCCCTCTCATCTCCTACTAAATCTTGCAACAGGTAAACTAGTTGATCGACTTGGTGACCTGAGTTTGTTTTTGTCGCTCAAAAAACAACTATTCATAGACTGGGTTTTATGGTGCAGGGAAAATAGAATGGCCAAAGAGATCATCGGCGACGTTTACGTCGAGCATAGGAAACGCTGACATCCGGACTGAATTAGATCAAAGCATTAAAGGAGGTGACGCAAAATACAAAGCAGCGCTGTCTGTAATGGCTTCCAAGATATCCTATGAGAATGAAGCCTTCGTTGAATCCATAGTCACCCAACTTTGGAAGGTAATGCTTTATGTGTACGTTGCTTGGATTTCTTTAAATACAAAATCGTTTGTTTCTTAAAACAAAATCTTTGTTATTGGTGATGCAGATGAAATTCGTCAAGTTTTATAATTTCTGGAATGGTACGTTTTTCTCTCTTTCTATATGTTTTAGAATTATAAATTACAATTGTACATTTAGATTAGTCCGCTTTACGAAAAATATCTTTTAAACTTGCATTGTAAATTAATAAACATATCTGTTATTTTAAGTCAATGTCGATGATTTGAAGTTTATACCGATGATAATGATTAAAGAAAGCTGTAAGTCATTGACTTGGAAATTAGAAGCCATAATATCTAACTTTTTGTATTTAAACATGCATCCTTTAATTTCCATTTAAATAAGTTCTTATTTTAAAGAGTAAAGTATACAAATAGTCCCTCGATTATAGGGTGATACTTTTTTGAGTCCCTCAACTATTTAAAATTATAAAATGATCATTCGACTATAGGGTATTGCTTTGTTGAGTCTCTCAACTATTAAAGTTACAAAATAGTCACCCAACTAACTATTTAGTATGTTCCAAACTCGTCATTTTTCATTAAAAATTGACGACAGTCTGAGTTAGATGTTAACCTAATGATTGATATATGATAAAATTTGATCCCTGAATCTAAAGAAACTACCATATCTCAGTCAACAAATTAATATCCAACTCAATTTGTTATCAAATATTTAACGGAAAATGATAAGTTTGAAACATACTAAATAGTCGGGTAACCATTTTGTAACTTTAATAGTCGGGGACTCAACAAAGCAACATCCTATAGTCGAATGGCCATTTTGTAACTTTTAATAATCGAGTGACTCAACAAAGCATCACCCTATAGTCAAGGGACTATTTGTGAACTTTACCCTATTTTTAATTAATATACAAAATTATTATTTTTTAATAAAGAATTATTTACTTACAAATAAAATAATAATAGTTATGTAGGCATAATAAAAGTATAAATATATAATAAATGTAATTTTAAAAACCATTTTTAGAAAAAAAAAACAAATTTCTAATATGATAAGTTTGGGCATATGCCCATATATATATATATTTATATATAAGATAGTATGGCTTTGACCTTTGAATATGTCTTCTTCCAGTCCGGCCGTCTAGAGGTCAAATCAATATAATATGTAGTGTAAGATCGACATGTTGGATAACTTAGTTTTTTTCCCCCTCTGTGTTGGGTGCTATTTATTGATTACAAATGTTGACCCTTGATCATTTTGCTTCATGCAGATTACAGGGAACGTGATTCAACCCAAGCGTTCATTCTCCAAGACACACAAGCAAACCCCAACTTGTTTGTGGTTGCATTTAGAGGCACCAGCCCATTCGACGCCGACGATTGGCGAACCGACGCCGATCTTTCCTGGTGCAAGCTTGAAGCCATGGGTAACTCCAGGACCCATAACGGTTTCATGCAAGCTCTCGGCTTGCAAAAGAACAAGAGTTGGCCTAAGGAGATCGAACAAGACAACAATGACGGACACCAATTTGCTTACTACACTCTTAGAGAAAAGCTGAGGGAAATTCTGAAAGAGAACGAAAAAGCTAAGTTTATACTGACGGGGCATAGTTTGGGTGGGGCTTTAGCAATCTTGTTTCCTTCGGTGCTAATGTTACACGAGGAGAAATGGTTGTTGGACAGATTGGATGGGGTTTACACCTTTGGTCAACCTAGGGTCGGGGACGAGAAATTCGGGGAATACATGAAGGAGAATATGAGAAAATTTGATGTGAAATATTTCAGATATGTTTACTGCAATGACATGGTCCCTAGGGTTCCTTACGATGATAAAAACACCTTGTTTAAGCATTTTGGACCATGCCTCTTCTTCAACAGCTTCTACGTCGGAAAGGTACTCCAGAAATACGATTTTCTACATCTTTAAACATGTTTAACATATGCATTTTGTTTATGTTTGTGATTCCGGCTGTGCAGGTTTTGCCGGAGGAACCGAACAAGAATTACTTCTCTTTGCTATGGGTGATACCGAAGGTGGTGAACGCAGTTTGGGAGCTTAATAGGGGCTTCATTTTGCCTTACCTGTACGGTCCGAACTACAAGGAAGGTTGGTCTTTGAGATTGTTGAGGTTAGCTGGATTAATAATACCAGGATTGTCTGCTCATTCCCCTCAAGATTATGTCAACTCCACTCGATTGGGAACCTTGCCGGATAATCAACTACGTGTACACCAACTTACAACAGATAGATGACATCAATGAAAACATATAATTTATAATTTATTTCAACTCTTCAATTCTATCACTTGTAAGAAATTGTGTACAACAGACGATCGATAGCTCCGTTTCCATTTCCATGAAACAGTCATACTGTGAAGGAAAAAAAAAAGTCTGTCTGACACCCGATTAGTTCATTATCCCTCGACTTAAACATGTACAACCCTTTGAATTCACAATGGACCTGTCTGTGTTTTGCGCAAGCATCGCTTCTTTGCTCCTCGTACAATGTTCATCATCTCACTGTCCTGTGGTAATCAAACAATTCAAGTAAAGATTTCAGAACATTCATCTCATGAACATTCATGACAAATGGCTAATCATATACGGGGAGCTTCAAAGGAGATGCATACCATACCATACATCATAAAAACAGTATGATATGAGAGGTTCACACAATACCAGTGAAGTGAAACGAAAATGACAATGTAATAGATAAAAACGTAGTGAAGCTGACAGAAAAAACATGGAACATGGTGTGGACGACCATGCTTATTGATACTTGTGTAGGGCATCAAATAAATTGTAATCAAATAAAAAGAGACATGGAAAGAAAACTTCTCGGCACCTGATTTTCTTGTAATTTCATCATTTGTGCCTGCAGCAACCAAGAACAGTCAACAAGAATGTAAGCATGTGTCCGCCATAACCAATAATTAATAATGCCAAGAACAGAATGTGCTGAAACAAAGAAGGGAAAGAACATACATGTTTCTTCTGCAATTCTTCGTTCTCCTTGTTTAGCTTTGCAATTTCTGCTTCCAATTCCGTTGTGTAAGCCTAGTTGAAAAGCAAAGAAAGCGAAAATGGTGAGAAAAACGAATTACGGACAAACCATTGGATGATATTGTTTTGATTTGCTAGAGTTAGTTCTTTATTATAAAATCTACATGGTCAAGGGTGTTAACCAACATAAATGGTTTCATTGATTCTCCTATGATGGAGCTTCAAAATTCTCCATTACCTTGTAAGTTGTAACAAAGATCCTTATAACTTCTCATCAACTTGACTTCTCAAAATTGTTCATCTCTTCTTATGTCAGACACTAGCAAAACTCATAAAGCCATAACAGGACCAAAATGAGTGGGAATTGTAAATTGAAGTTTATTAAAACCAGAGTTCAAAATCTTTGAGGTATCTTGGCACTACAAATTAAACACAATCTCTTAATACGGAACTCCGGTGCAGTCTAGTGTATTTCGTAGACGACGTTGATGCGAAGAAAAAATCTCAGTTATAGGATCCAGAGTTGACATAGGCAGGAAGCGTTATCAAAGGAATAGACTATAACAGTTTCAGATACTGCATATTCCAAATTATATGTCTTACTCTGAGATGTAATAAAGTGCTATAAAGATGGAAACATTAGATGAAATCAAGAACATATTATCACCTGCTTCCGAGCTCGTGATCTTGCAGCAGATTCTCGGTTCTTTATCATTCTTCTCTGCCTCCTCTCAGCAACCTTTTCCAGAGTAGTGAACTTCCTGCCCCTCAAGCTCCCGTTAAACACATAAGGAACAGGCGAAACAGAGGAAGTGTCTCCACTACTCTTCCCAATCCCATCTGATGAAAGCTGGTTAGCAGGTGAACCAGTGGCAACACCAACCGGCCCTCCTACGCCAACCACACCAATCCCTCCACCGCCCTGGGCAAGACCATTAATTAGTCCCTGACCACCGCTTTGCAAAGGCATCTGAGCTCCATATTCCAAACCATATTGCTTAGGAAGAATCGGTTGCCTCTGCCGTTGTTGCTGTTGCTGATGAGTTTGCTGCTGAGGGAAAGGTTGAATACCAATTTGATTACCATCATTAGAAGGCCAATTCCCAATCAAATTTGGACCTCTTCCACCTTGTTGAAATCCAATCCCAAACCCAGTATTACTCCCTGCTTGTGGTAATTCCCCAAAGAAACCGCCATTAACATTATTAAGCTTCCCTGAAATTTGGGTACTATCCTCTCTAACCACACCAACCCTCACCAAAAACTCCTCCAGAGTAATCTCCCCAAGAGTTTGTTGTCTCTGTGGCATATTATCAGTCACTCCAGTTCCAATCTTCCCGTCTTTCCCTACAGAGAACTCCTTTGACATATCTTTCCAAACTTGATCCACAGTTTTTTGGCTAAGCGTCCTTGGCAAAGTTAAAGACCCTTGCTTTTGTAACCCGCCATTTGCCTCCATCCCAACGCTGGAAGAAGCCATTGTTTGAGTTTCTTCAGCGCTCCAAATGTTCTTCAACAACTCATCCATGTTCATTGACCCGAAATCCTTGCCTATTCCACCCATTGTGCTTTGGAACTCATCGAAAGTCAGAGAATAGATTGATGGCTGTCTACTTATTGGATAATTCCCAGTCGGCTTATTATCACCTCCGCCGCCGCCGGCGTCAGCGGACGGCGGCTGGTTACTTCCAAAGTTCTTAAAGCTCATATTAGTCCCCCGATAAGATCTGGATAAAGTAGTGTAAACAAAATGAGATCATGTCAAGATATATATATGGATTTGCAAACTTTACAAATACAGTTGAACAAAGTAAACAAGAAAAATCCTTTATAATTATATTAGGAAACATTTTCTATATTTGGGATGTTCACGTTTCAATAAAACTAAACAATCAAGATCATATAAAACCAACTATCTAATCCTTACCAGTTTTAACTAAGAAAGACCATCAAAATCAACTCTTTTTTTCTCCCTTTTCATCAAGTGCTGGTAAAATCTAACATTTTCATGTGTCTAAACAAAATCTCTGCTTTCAAATATAAGCGAGTTGAATTTGACTCCCCCCCCCCCCAAATGTATCACAAAGTTGAAGATCTTAATGGAAGCATAAGCTTTTTAATTAGAAAAAAAATAACGCACCAAATAATTGAAAGAAAACATAAAAGATCCGAACCCAACCAAAATAGATAAATCATAATTAGGACAATTAGTTGATTAATTAAAAATAAGAGTAAACTACAAAAATAATCATTGAACTTTTATGGCATTTGCACTGTGATCATCAAACTTTCAAAACATGTAATACAATCACTAAAATTTTAAATAGTTTTTATTATGGTCACTACTGTTAAATGCCGTTAAAAAAAGCTGATGCGGCATATTAAAGTCTATTTCAACATTTTTTGTCTTCTTCATCACGTTACCCACATACATTTCTCATGTTCCCATAGACAATATTCATATTCTTTATCATTGAATAGTGTTTGGATCACTGAAATCATTATCACTTGATGTTCTTCCTATTGTTATTTCCATGAAACAATCTTGTTGTATTTGCAGTATGTGAAAATGACTTTTTTTTCTTTACATTCTAAATAGTTCACAGATCACTAACATTGGACGATGACGTCGTTGGTAATCTAAGCACTATTTTTTTTATGGAGAATCCAAGCACTATTTAGTGATGAGAAAGATGAATATTGTTGATGGAATTGGAGAAATTGGAGAGGATAATATGATGAAGAAGATGAACAGTGTTGGAATATATTTTAACATGTCACGTCAATTTTTTAACGATGGTGAACAACAATGATCGTAACTAGAATGATTTAAAATCTAATTATTGTATTGCAAGTTTTAAAAGTTTAATGACCAAAATATAAATATCAAATATATTCAGTGACTATATTTGTAGTTTACCCTGAAAATAATTTTTACAAAAACAATTTCTGGTTCTTGGCTACCGCCAGGTGTCCCTTTGTCTTTTTACTTTCTTCTTTAAAGAGTAAATAATATTTTTAATAATATTAAGTGGGCCGGCTTGATCCCGCAACGTGGCAAATTGGAAAAGAGCGGGCCATTATGATGTGATATCTGACCATTGAGCAATCGAAAAGTGGGATAATCTGGACTGTCCACGTTTCAGAGGGCAACGGTGGTGATGGTCTGAATATATAGGAGTTTTGGATGTAGTGGGCATTGTTGTTGGTTGGACTTGGATAGCGACGATTAGGGATAGATATGGGTTGGGTCGGATTTTTTGTCCACCCGATTCGACTCGAGAACAAGGGAAATTCATTCCAGACCCGTCCGATACGATCAAAATAATATTTCACTCGATTCAAATCCGACTTGATATATGACTTAGAAATTCGATCCGACCCAAAATAATAATAAAATATTATTTTTATTCAATAAAAATAATGATTTAATTGAAAAAAAATTATATATATAGGGTATTATTGTTAAATATATAAGGTAAAATTATATATTTTTTTGGGTCGAGTCGAGTCGGGTATTTTTCACCATAAACCCGAACCCGACCTGAACAACACATAAAAAATTCGACCCGACCCAACCCAAAACTGAAATTATTTTAAAAAAATCTAATTCAATCAGAACCAATCAAATTCGAGTCTCATGCTCATCCCTAGCGACGATAATAAATGCTACAACATCAGTTGAGCACGCCTACATAAATGCTAAATTTCAATTGAACTGCTATAAATCTTAAAATTTGAGTTTGCGATATAGATTAAAAAATGGTGAAATAAAAAATATTATAAAATATTATAATATTTTTAGTAAAATGTAATTTATAATATTATTTTTTTAATAATTTTGGTTTAACCGAAAATATTATGAAGAATATAATATTTTCGGATATCATCTGTAAATGTTAAAAATTAACATTTTAGGTTACATCTATGTCGCAACCGTCTTTCAAGTAGGTCCGGAATTGGGTTTCGACTTAAATAAAATATGTTAGAACCACCACCGATCATTTAAAAAAATATTTAGGTTGATCGGACACCATCTTACCTGATCTGCGTTTTACCATAAATATGTCAGATTCGGGAGTTGACTATAGTCAAGGAATGATTAACACCCTTGTACTGCCCTTTCGGTACCGTTTTAATTTCTCAGTTGTCTTAATTGCGAAAATTTAAATTTTAAAATTCGATTCGAATTGTTTACTTCTGATCAATTGAAATTACCTCTAAAAAGTCAAAAATGTTATATTGTAAAATAAAATATTAAGTAAATAAAGGAGAATAACAAAAAGGGTTAAATTAGGAAAATAAGGAAGAAAAATTTAAAAATGTAAAAAAAACATTAAATAAAATCAAAAAATAAAAATATTAAATATTTAAAAGAGAAAAATAATAATAATAATAATAATAAAGGAAAATTTTAAGAGGAAAAAATATAAGAAAAATACTAAAAGAGAATATATATATAAAAAAGGTGATTTTAAAAAGAAAAAAAATTAATGAATAGTTAAAAAATAAAAGATCAAATTAAAATTTATGGATTGAATTAATATTAAAAATGATCTGCAAGAAAAAAGTTAGGGGACATAATTGCAAAATGTAATAAATTTAAACAGTGATTAAATTGAATAAATTTGACATTCCAGAGCTAATTTACAATAGGTGACCAAAACAAATTACGCATCAAAATTGTAGGGACTGTAGAAATAATTTAAATATTTCATAATTACATAATAGCATTCCCTATAAATAGCCCTTAAAACCTAAAATATCTTCATTTTAAACCAAACTTAGAAAAAACAAAAACAAAAAAACTCTAAAAAAACACTCTCCCCTATCATCTTCTCCGACCGAACACTGGCTTTCCCACCGCCGTAGCTCCGCCCCGTCGGCCACCGTCCCTCGGTGGCCGAAAATCCTAAAGCTACCCAAAATTATATCCTCGTCGTCCTAAAGCTAACCCCGAGCCTCGATTTTCCAACTCAGACCTCAAACGACATAAATCTAAAGGAAACCGTTCATTTTTTTTTACCTTGGTTCGACGGTGACTCTTCGTTTTCCGACGAGCTTTGACAATACAAGGCCTTCGGCTTTGAGTGTTGCCTTCGGTTTCTTGGTATTTTGTTGCATTGTGGTTGTGATTAGTGATGTTTTACTTGTTATTCGTGTCCTTAGATGCTTTGTTTTGCAGGGTATTTATAGGCCCCCATCGAGGTCATTTTCGGTTGTTTTGGTTCCATTCTCGATTGTTTCAGGGTTGTTCTCGATTATCTCGAATGGTCCAATATGACTTGCTTCGATCATCCAGGTTGTTATTCAGTTGACCGAGATCTCGGATGGTTCAGTCCGAGTTGCTTCGACTTTTGTGTTTCAAATCGTTGAAATCTCGACCGACTAGTAATCTTGTCAGTGCGTGATTCCCACGCACTGCCATTGGTGGCTTTTGAGCTTCTGGAACCCTCATGGATTTGATATCGACCGTTGGATTGGTTGAAGGTCCAATGGTTCAGGATCGGCTACGGTGTGATGATATTTGAGGGTTAAACAAACCCTAGCTCTCTTACAATTTTGGTCGTTGATCTTCATCTCGATCTAACGGCCCTCATTTGTGTGGCGCTGGACTTGATGATGAAACCGGGTTGGGCTCGCGGGGTAGACTTGCTGGGTCAAGATTGCCCACCCTGTTGGGTTTCTTGCCGGGCCTCTTGGACCGTTTTGGACTTATTGTGCCTCTAAAAAAAGAAAAAAATAACAAAAGGAATAAATAAATAAATGAAAAGAAATAAATAAAATGACATTATATCTAAAAACTAATATTATATATATTTTCAAAATGTTTTAAAAAATTATATATATGTTTTCAAAATGTTTTCAAAAACTATATATTATATTTATATTTTTAAAAATTTTAAAAAACTATATATTATATATATTCTCAAAATGTATATTATATATATATTTTCAAAATGTTTTCAAAAACTATATATTATGTATATGTTTTCAAAATGTTTTCAAAAACTATATATTATATAAATGTTTTCAAAATGTTTTCAAAAATTATATATTATATATATATTTTCAAAATGTTTTCAAAAACTATATATTATATATTTTTTCAAAATGTTTTCAAAAACTATATATTATATATATTTTCAAAATGTTTTAAAAAACTATATATTATATATTTTTGAAACATTATATATATATATATATTAAATAGAACCCTGGGTGAAAATAAGTGACTACAGTTGCCACTCCTTACCCATTATCGTGTAACGAAAATAGAGCAAAGAAAAAAAGGCACAAATTTTCGTTCGATGCATATGGGCAATATGCTTCTGTGAGAATGGTTGACTTTTGAGCTTGAAATTCAACTTAAGGTTGTTGTTGAATTCTTATCAACTACCATCCGCTGTGGAATCGAGAATAGAGGGGGACGGCTTCCTATTGTTGAGCCATACTGTGGATGACTCAGAAGTTGTCTTTGAACAATGATATCCTTCATTGTGAAGCTAAAATCGTAATTCGAAATTTGAATCGAAAAGTGGCTCCTTGTTGCCAATCTTATTTAACGTTCGTCTTCTTCTCGGATTAAAGACTTTGGTATGAAAATTTGTCCGGAAAGTAGTTCCTTGCTGCTACCTTGCGGTAAATACACCCTCGAGCTGAATGGAATCGAACTCGAAAGTTCTTGTTGATAGATAACCCTTCTCGCCTTGAGCTATGTTGTACTAGGCTGGGAGATAACCCCCTATTGTTATAGATGACTCATTTGTTGTGACACTAAGTCAATCCATTGGGTACGGTATCCTTCATCGTGAAGTTGAAATCGTGGATGACTCATTTGCTGTGAAGTTGAGCTTTGAATTGAATGTCTTTCATTGTGAAGTTAAAATCCAATCTTGTAAATTGCATTGCTTCGTGTTCAATATTTTTTGCTACGAAGTTGAAATTGACTCCAACAAGAATCTGCAAAATTATGTATATATGCGATGCTATGGATGCAATGCTCTTATGTGTGCCTAAAATGCATATTTGAAATATGTTATTTTAGAATTTGGAGAGAACTATCAATCTCTGGTTGTCAGTCTTGATGGCTCTTGATT